CAAGTGTGGCAATATGAAAGAAAAATACACACTCTAATTTAAATAGTTTTACTTTTTATTATTAAATAATGATGTTCAAAATGAAATAGTCCCTCCGTTGCCTTCTGCACAAAACATAGTGCAAGGTGGTTGCTATGCAACAACACTAACAGCAAGCGAACATATTAGACAGAGAGCGTTGATCCATTATATGGCTGTTTATTTACATTAATGTGTATGTTGCTGTTTATTGTGCATCCACTGAAAAACTGTCCAGCATCAGTAGCATGGCTTACGTGGTCACTTGTATATGTTAAGGTTGTTCGAGGCTGTTGCTTGGTGTGGCGAGAATATTGCTCCACTTTCTCCGGTCCCCGAGATTGGGCTAGCAACAGCCTCGAACAACCTTAACATATACAAGTGACCACGTAAGCCATNAATGTATGTTAATGTTGTTAATTATTTTGTATTGTGATGCTTTGGCAACATTGTTTAATTTAACTTTCATGCCAATAAAGCCCCTTTGACATTGAAATGTGTGTGTGTGTGTGTGTGTGTGTGTGTGTGTGTGTGTGTGTGTGTGTGTGTGTGTGTGTGTGTGTGTGTGTGTGTGTGTGTGTGTGTGTGAGTTTTATACCCTGAGAATGAAAACATGCAGGAAGTTTGGATATGTATTTCTTTTTTTAATGATGCTTGTTCTCAATTACATTTAGCAGGCAGATGTTGTACTTCTTTTGGACATTGAAATGTGTGTGTGTGTGTGTGTGTGTGTGTGTGTGTGTGTGTGTGTGTGTGTGTGTGTGTGTGTGTGGTGCATGGATGAAAGCGTGAGTATCCATCAGTACAAATACAAATGCTTTTTTATTTGTATGGTGACATTTGTTTTTGCAAATCCTCTGAGGCTGAGGTTTGTTTCTGTTTTAAATCATATTAAAGTAAATATTATTGTGTGTTAGACGACAAAACTAGACACTTAAAGCCATCACTGGTCCTTTGAGAGTCTAGCGTTAACATGGGAGAGTGTTAATGGGTAAGAGAAGTGGAAAGAGGGGAAACTGGAGGATTATTGATTAAACGGTAGCTCACGGCGTTTAGACTTGAATCTGTTGAAACACCTTGTTGTTGTGTTGGGTTATCGGCTCCCCTCAGACGCTCAGGGGTTACTCTCACAGTTTCCAGCAGAAAGCATGTGAGAAATGCACAAAGCTGAGAGATTTGCAGGGATTGTGGAGGCAGGCTGAAACACTCAGGATCAGATCAGAGGAAACGCACTGGTTTTGACACAGTCAGAGCTTCAACGTGTTCATTCAACAGGTATGAGATGAGACAACACGAAGACAAGAGAAATCCACCATGTCTCTTTCTATTGCATTTCAGTTTCATCAATACACGCATCTGTTTAACAGCTCCAAAATAACATGTTGTGCAATATTTAGAGGCCACATAAGAAGCGTGTATTTACCAGAGTAAAAAGGATAACATAACAATTTAAATTAAAATCTCACCAGAATCCACACATCCACTAACATAAATCTCTCTCTCTCTCTCTCTCTCTCTCTCTCTCTCTCTCTCTCTCTCTCTCTCAGGCTCTTCTGAAGCTGGACTGCCAGGGTCTCGTTGCTCGGCTGGTTTTGGACTTCGTTCTCCTCACCACGGCGGTAGAAGTCGCCGGGCGGTGGAGAGAACTCGCCGAGCGTCTGGTGAAGGTTTCCCGCCAACAGATGGACGCTTACGAGGCGCCGCATCGAGACAAGAGCGGCACGGTGGACAGCGAGGTACGAGACTACTGATGACTCATATCAACATTCAGCTGGGACTGTGTTTCACTCTGTTGTGTTAAAGGTCTCCTATCGTGCAAAAATCACTTTTTGATGTCCTTTCTACATCACTATGTGTCCCCGGTGTGTCCCCGGTGTGTCCCCGGTGTGTCCCGGTGTGTCCCCGGTGTGTCCCCGGTGTGTCCCCAGTGTGTCCCCGGTGTGTCCCGGTGTGTCCCCAGTGTGTCCCCTGTGTGCCAGGAGACTCACAAAGTGTCAGGAAATAAACCCCTCTCTCTTTTCCTCCGTACCCACATCTCTAAAAACGGGGGAACAACGGAGCTGATCCAGATTTACTGCGTCATGACGACATTACTAAAATGTGGGCGGGCTTTACACCCACGGGCCAATCAGAAACGTTGCTGTCAGAAACAATGCCTGACGTAATATGGTCTGTGTTTACATTAGCATGCTAACACTCAGAGCTAACCTGTACTGGAGAGAGTGTGTGTGAAGAAGCAGGAAATCAAAAGGAACTCACCTTGTGGTAAACCTGAGAGATAGAGAGTTTGAGCTCCATCCTGTTTCAGAGAGAATCCTTGATGTGGTTTGGAACAGGATATGGAGTTTCATCACGGCAGCATTTAGCTGAGTTTCTGCTGGGAGAATTTTTTTTCCACAAAACTTTGACTTTTTACTCAGAATTTACCTTTTTAGGATTTAAGCTGTTCTTTAGATATTCTCAAAAAATCAGATTATTTTCTTCAAATTTACTTTTTAAGATTTCTGTTTTTTCTATAGATTCTAAATTGTTTCTCAAAAAATCTGATTTTTATTATTTTTTCTTCAAATTTACTTTTTTTAAGATTTCAGATTTGTTTCTCATAAAAATCCGTTTATTTTTCTCCAAATTGAGTTTTTTTAAATTCAAAATGTTCTCTTTTTTTTGATCAGATTTTTTTTTCTTCTTCAAATTCAGTTTGTTTTTGAAAATTTCTTATTCTGATTTTCGTTTTACAAAAAAACAGATTTTTTTTAGTTTTCTTCAAATTGAGTTTTTCTAAGATCTTTAAAAGACTAGAAATAATCAATCCAAAATTCAAACAGATATTCCCTCTCTCTGCAGGCCATGTGGAAGCCGGCGTACGACTTCCAACTAAAATGCTGAGTCAGGGTTCAGGCTCTCTATTGGTTCTGTCTTTGTGTTCACTTCTAATTGGATGTTCTCTCTCTCTCTTCAGGCCATGTGGAAGCCGGCGTATGACTTCCTGGTGACGTGGGCGGCTCAGATCGGGGACAGCTACCGGGACGTCCTGCAGGAGCTGCACCTGGGCCTGGACAAGATGAAGAATCCCATCACCAAGCGCTGGAGACACCTGACAGGGTCCCTCATCCTGGTCAATTGCCTGGACCCCCTGCGGAGCTCTGCCTTCAGCCCGGAGAACCAGGAAGACTACGCCATCTGAGAAACATCCTCCATCTGAGAAAACGTTCTGAGAAAACGTTCCTCCGTTGAATTTTACATTTTTCTTAAAATGTCACCTTTTTTTTTTATTTCAGACTTTGTCTCAGAATTCGATTCTTTTTTTTAAAATTAACTTTTTTTGCCAAATTTCACTTTTTTCCCAACTTTAAAATTATTTTCATGGTTTCTATTTTTCTCAAAATATTTTTTTTCAGAATTTAACGAGAAAACGTTCCTTCCTCATCTGGGAAAACGTTCCTCCCTCATCTGGGAAAACGTTCCTCCGCCACGCCTCCACGCTCACGGTTCAAATGCTGCAAACCAGCTGACCCTCTGTCAGCTCCTCGTGCACCAGGCAGTGTTCACTGACTCTTTTAATAGCCCTTGTCTTGCATAGCTGTGTATTTTTGTACTCTTATTATCTCTTATTATGGCACAGCGGTTTTTTCTAAAACACTTTGGTTAAGAACTGTGGATCGAAACGCTGAGAAAATACACTTTTTTTTAGATATCGTAGCCTTGTCACACGAGTCAAATATCACATGCAGCGTTTAGAAAACATTAACCAACTGGAGGAAAGAACTTTTAGTAAACGCCGTGCATGTTTCCTGAAGTTGAAGCTGAATGTTTTATTCGTATCTACATGAGAGAGAAAAGTCACTTCTTCAGGTTCTCACTGTGGTCCCGCTCATTTCACAAATATCTGGATGTCAGTCGGTATTTTTTTAAGATCGCTTCAAAGGAAACTGAATAATTTATTAATATTGCACACAAGTTCTGAAGTCCACTAGTGCCACAACATTCAGTCAGTCTATGGAATGAACATTTTACAGAACATTCTGATTTAATTGCATTTTAAACATGATCACTATGTCTTTTATATTCTTGTTAATTACACTTTTGCTTAAATAAAAAAAAGAAATTAAAACAGTCTGATTTTTTACAGTTTTCTGACTCAAACGGATTGAATTTAAATCGTGTCCCAGCTTCTTAAATGTGAGAATTTGCTAGTTTTATTTCATTTATTTTCTCAGTGATTTCCTGTTTAAACTGTGGGTCAGAAAAAAACAAATAATTCGTTTTTTGTATGGATTGTGTTCACACACGTTATCCTGTCCTCGTGTTTTCCTGGCGTTTTTTCACCATGACTTTAATGCTGCGTTCACACCGGACGCGACGCGATGTTTGCGACGGCGCGCATGAAGCGGTTGATGCGAATGCCGCGGCGCGATTGAGGCGATTGGAGGGGGCCGTGACAATCACTCGAGTTCAATTGTTTCAACTCGAGTGTCAAATTCGCGGATCTCAGCCTGCCGTCACTGACGTTGAAACACAAAACCAACATCAGCCGTTAGCTGTTAGCCCTCAGAGCTCACAGCTCCTCATGTCTGTTCAGAAACTAGACAGAAGTGAAACAAGTACAAACCACAGACTGTCTGTGTCATGGAGAACACAGTATGTTGTTAATTCGGCATCATTTTGAAACGTGTATTACAATTAAATCACGGTAAAATATGTTCATCTTGTTGTAGTTGTAGCCCCCTGCCAGCGCTTCTTGTTTGAATGACGCGAGTAAACACAGCTGACAGCCGCGGTGAAACTCGAGCGATTAGAGCGAAGCGAATATTCGCATCGCGTCCGGTGTGAACGCAGCATAAGTCGTTATCAGAAGATTACATTTTCTCTGTTTTAATGGAGTGACTGTAGATTTCCACTTCTGTATGTCTGGGTTTTCCTTAAGGGGCTAATCTGCTAATGAGACCAAAAGCTTCAGAATAAATGAGTAAAAAAATCATCTTAATTGAGATTTTTTCCGGAAGGCCCTGAGAGGCAAATGAAATTCTGGTGATCCATTTTCACATAAATGAACATGTTTCTTCTCCTGTGTTTGTCTTTAGAACAGATCAGATAACTGATTGTCAGGATAATTATTATTTCTTTATAATTTGTAAAAAAAACTACTAGAAAAAATGTTAAAGCAGATGGAATAAAAATCTTAATTTGGATAATTGTATATCTTTTAATGTTTTATTTTTATATATGGAAACTTTAAAAAATAGTTTTTTGAATGATATTTTTACATTTTGTATATATTTTTACCAGTTGAAAATTTTAGGACTAATCTTGTTTATCTATAAATACAAGGGGGACATATTTCTTGCAGGTGAAACTTCTTTTGTTTTTTAATTGGAAAATGTATCCTAGCAAAACCTTTTAACATTTTATTTTGTTTCATTAAAAACTGATTACAAAAATTAAAAAATGTTGTCAGTTAAAATTTAAGTTTTCAGGCTATTTTCACTTCATTCAGGAGACATGGTTTTGATAATAATACATATTTATTGCCAGGAATACATTGTCCACAATACACTGGTCTGAAGGGGAGGGGCTTAGCTTGACCCTGGTGGTGGTGAATGGATAGTTGGGTTCGGTCTGAAGGGGAGGGGCTTAGCTTGACCCTGGTGGTGGTGAATGGATAGTTAGGTTCGGTCTGAAGGGGAGGGGCTTAGCTTGACCCTGGATTCAGAGGGACAGGAGGTGAAAAGGGGTGGAGGAGGGTTGCGTCGAGTCACCTGAAATGACAGCTGTCAGAGGGGGGAGCAGATTTAAAAGGGTTAGCGGATAGGCTTGTGAGAATAGAGCGAAGTGATTGGTTAAGCTGGGGAGTGACGCCCCCGATCACTTATTGAGAGGAGAGAGAGTAGTAACATGGAAATAGTAAATGAATGAGTAAAGACGGTCTTCCTGGTTGAACTTGCGCTGAGCTTCATTTGTGTTTTAGTAAAAGAAAAAATATCCAGACAATATTTAGGCACGTGAGAAAAAATGTAATAGTTTTCACATAGAGAAATAAAAAACGTAAAAAAAACAACCTTAGCAAGATTTCCACCTGGCAAAGGAAATGCTTTCACCTCTCAGGTAAATAAGAACAATTTATTGGCATAAGCTTTGTTCACCTGTTTAGTGACCAACACAGGAGAGAAAACTATTTTGAAAACGACTTAATGGATCTCCAGCATGTATTGGTTTCTAACTCACCTTACGGAGCCTCCATAATCTTAAGGTTATTCTTCTTTTTTTTTACATTACATGTCACTTGTTAGACGCTTTTATCCAAAGCGACTTGCATACTGAATACTGAGGGTAATCCCCACAGGAGCACTTTGGGGTGAAGTGTCTCAGGGACACAACGACATGCTGACTGCAGTGGGGTTTGAACCTGTGACCCCCTGATCCCAACACCAACGCTCTTCACTGCGCCACAGCGTCCCTATAATTTTTCCAATTAACTGATCAGTCTTCAGAAACTCATGTCCTTCACTCGTCTGTTTTTCTTCCGTCTCATGTCTCTACTTTTTACCAAAGCTCTCCAGATGTTGAGACTCTGCTTCTGTCTGAGTGCTGCAAACTGCAAACTGTGTGTTTTTGTGACTGCTTGTGGAGAAGACTCTGAATAAAATGTAAATATTTGGACACAATATCTGTACGATTGGACCTGTTTCTAGTCGCCAAGTTTCTTTGTCAGCATTTTGTTCGTGGAAAACCAAAAGGAAGACAAAATATATACATACAGTATGTCTTTTTTTAAATAGGATGAACTTCTTACATTTTTTTATTTGCATCTGTTAAAGTTGGTTAAAAGTTTTCGGCAGGTTAAAAATAAAGTGTTCATTTGTTTTTTGGTATCTGTTTGGCTCGGGCAAATGGTTTAAAGAAATAAAATAAAAGGTTTTTGTCCCGAAAAAATGTTTTAGTATCCGTAAAAACAGATTTAAAAAAGCAGTTAAAATATTACAATCTGTGTAAACAGCTGACTTTTTCGGCGAAATTAAAAAAATCAACATTTGGTCCAGATAATATTTAAAATGTGTTTATTTTATGAATTTTATATAGCGTCAAAAGTGTTATTCTGGTAAGTGAAAAAAACAAAAACGTTCCAAGTCGCAAAAGCTATATTTTCACGTGTTTCACGGATGAAGTCGAAAAATCAAGTTTATTATATTAGTATATCTATATATTGTTCCATCACATCGCGACACACCGCCATGTTTCCTGTTTTCAGCGTCTCTTGGTGGAAGAGACACGGCGTGAGAAAGTGACTCCAAGATATAAGAATCACACCAGAATGCTGAACAATATTTAATGGTTAGTGTGTGAAAAAGTATATTAGTATATTTTCTTAACACACAGCGAGCAGAAGCAGATCAGTGAAGAAAGTCTGGAGACGACTTCCAGCAGCTTCTCAGGGTGACGTTTCAGATGTTTTATTACATGTATTTTCTCATTGATTTAATGTTTAAACTGTCGGTCAGAAAAAAACTAATAATTCGATTTTTTTTCTGGCGTTTCTTTCCCATAACTTTAAGTGAAGAAAGTCTGCAGACGACCTCCAGTAGTTTCTCATTTTGATGTTTCAGACGAGAGAGCTGCTGCAGCATCAAACGCATTTTAAATTAGAGCTCGCTTTATATTTCCGCGCATCAGAGCTCAGCTGGAGGCAGAAATAATCCCGTTCGTGCTCCGACCAGATACACAGGCTTCCTTCTGATCACCACACGCAGACAGACATAACGTGTGCGATGAAAAACATGCTTTGAGCTCTGAGACCTGAGGTTTCTCACTGAAATGTTGTTTGGGATTTATAGTTAACTTCCAGCCTAAAGTTTTGAGCACAGGATTTGTTCATGTCGTGTAATGATGACATAAAGATCAGGGTTTGGTCTGCACCAGGTAACTAAAACGTTAAAGTGATGCCAGAAAACAGTTTCGACAACATTCAATACATTTTGACAAAAACAAGACAATTATTGCTGTTTTCTGATGATTTATTGATTAAGTAATGAATCAGTTATTCATCAATAGTTTATTTGCAGCTACAGAAGAATTGTTTTATTGATTGATTTCTGATGAGTTATCTATATTTTCTATTGAATTGCATGCCAATATCCCCTCATTTAAACATTGTTGATTTGTTTTGACGTATTAAATATGTCAGTATTGATCATTGATCAGGGTTTTGTCTGCACCGGGTAACTACGCACCCTCAAACAAAAATGCAGATTTTCCCCGTAAAATGAGACATCTTGTATACGGGCGTCATGTTCTCGAGAGAA